AAACAAAGGCACACAGACACTGCTTCGGGTGGGGTATTCCTGAGCCATGCTGGGGAAGGACCCCTGATCCCCCAAACCTGTTACAAGTTGTTCGCAGCCACAACTCAAAATGAGCTACACCATCAGCTCTGCAAGCATACAAGGACTGGGCTCACTGGTTCCAGGCTACATTGCAAAACTGGGTGCGAGGCGAAGTGGCCATGCTGCAGGATGCTCCGCAGGGCCAGCGGCTGAGGATGATAAGGGCTGCTGGCTGAGAACGTGTTTAAATAATGAAGGAAAATGAGAGGTTTGAGATGCCCTTTTAAAGGAATAGGCAGGCAGGGGCGAGACCTGCTGAGTAATGTATAAAAACAAGCTTCAGCCAGAGGAGATACGTTAGGATTAGCCAGGACCCAGAATAAACTATGCTTTTTCCAACCAAAATTTTGGTGGCAGCTTCTTCAAAACAAGCCCTGCAGCCGGCAGGGAGCAGCAGGTTGGTGCCATCCCCCCAACACTGGGAGGGGCCCCAGGAGAGGGATGGGGTGGGCTCATTTCATCTCCAGAACAGACATCCCGGCCCTACTGATGGGGCTGGGAAGCTCTCTGCATCCCCAAAGGCTGTACTCCACATCCTGTGCACCACCTTTCCCCAAAACCACAATCCAAAAGATGTCAGGCGGGGCAGAGGTGCCTCTGTAAGAAGTCACAGGGATATCACACCTGGCCTGGGGAGGCAGAGGAGGACAGAACAACAAAACAGGATGGAGCAGGGGACAGCCATCAGCCAGCTCCCCTGCTCCAAATGCTTTCAGCTGCGTCGCACAATGCAGGCACCTCCTTCCAGAGGTGCTGGGAGGAGAAAACACCAACAGGGGTAGAAAAAAAACTATGGGGGAAATATCCCCATGAAGTCAGCACCCAGGGCACCCCAGAGCCAGCCATGCCCAGAATGCCAAGGTGGGTCAGGGACCTGCTCAGTGGCCACCTCTCCCCATCCCCGCTGGGAGGGCCACTGAGGAGAAGCAGAGGGAAAAAGGGGCACAGCAGAGGGTCTCCGTGCTTGGGGGCCAGGCTTGTGCTGCCGGAGGCTCCTCAGAGGGCAGGATAAGCGTGTTTGCTCAGCTGAGAACAGCCCTTCCGTTTCCTCCCATTGGTGATCTCCGGGAGCATCAGGTGCAGCCACAAGGTCACCAGCCCGCAGCACTTCCAGCCACCTTAACCCCTTCGGGGCAGGGGCTTGGAGCCACGAGAGCTGGTCTGGCACAGTGGGAAAGCTGGTGAGCACGGGCACAGGGGAAGATGCAACAGCTCTGTTATTGCTGATGGCTTCAGCAGTGCCTGGACTGGTTTACTGTACCTGTTTTTAACTCCAGCACAAGACAGCCAGCTATCAGACCTGTTCCTGCACACCTATCCCTGGCTTGGCGCTTTATGACCTGTTTCCCAAATCATAAGGTGATGCTGGGATTGTGCGAAATGGGAGGCAGAACCCACCAGACAGCAAGGCAGAAAGGGGATGTTTGCCCATCATCACACGTGATGGGTTTAAATTAAAAAAAAAAAAAAAAAAAAAGCTCTTCCCTCCCCCCCCAAAAAAAAAAGAAAAAAAAAGCAGACAGCCAAAGCCATTCCTGAAGCTGCTTCCCCAGGTGCTCTCCTGTTAATTGCCAGTGATCAGAGCACTCCAGCGTGGCCCAGCCCTCCCTCCTATCGCTCCCAGGATCACAGGCACACAAAACCCACTTCAAAAAAAGAGATTTTGAGAATGGAAACTCCTCCCTGCAAAGGTCTGTTTTTGTTCCAAACTGTTACGAAATGTCAGTGTTTTCCCCGGCTTGGCAAAGAGCCCTCCTTTGATGAGCTGAGAGGCTTTATCAAATCCAAAAATCGAAGGGGTGCGGGACCAGCCGCCTGGGGGGAGACCTACAAATAACTTATTCTCCTCCTGCCTCACCACGGAGGCTGCAGATCATCAGTGTGGTGTCTGCGGGGGGATTTGAGCTCCCTGAATGCCGTGACTTTCAGCACTCGGGGGTGATGAAAGCCAGGCTTTTGTTGGCCGCGGCGGATGGCAGGGCTCAGCACCATTCATCCCGGCAGGGGCTACTGGCCCCAGAGCTGGTTGTGCCTGGCAGGGACAATGCGGAGATCCTGGGGAATCTTCCAACCAAGCCGCCCTAGAAGGGGGCATTAAAAGGATATTATATAGCACTGACAGTTTTGATGTTAATTTTAATGGAAAAACAGCTTCCTTCCATGTAGGAGGTACCTGTTCCTCAGGGGACCTTCAGCAAACTAGATGGGATGGCATCTGGCACAGGGAAGAGTTAAGGGGCTGGGACTTCAGGCACCACTTCAAGCCTTGGCTCTGCACGTCGTTATCTCGGGTCCCTGTGAGTTACTTGGCTACTGAACAAGAGGCAGATCTCGGGACGAGCCCTGTTTTCACCCGCTGACCTCCTCTAAAAGGCCTCCCAGCTGCTCAGGAGGAGACGATTCAGACCCTTACTGCACGGTTTTATTTCCCTGGGCTGGGCTGCAGGACCTCAGCGCGGGACACGTCGGCCTCTCAGCTCAGCACGTTTCCACCGGAAAACTGCATTTCCAGGTCAAGAGGAGATGCTGGGAAGAGACAGGCTTCCCAGACAGCCCACTGCAATTCCAGTATCCTCAGGGTCGCTGGCTGCAGGACACCAATGTCGTGCAGCATGAGCCAGGAAAACGACACCCTGCCTGCCTGCTGCGCTTGGTGCCAGTGCCCCGGGGCCACCTGCCCACCTGGGGGACCAGGAAGCCCAAGGAGGGCTCAGCCTCTTCCCACACACTCTAAACAGGCTGCCAGCACCGGAGCCGGGCAGCTCAGCTCCCAGCAGAAGGAATGGCTGCAATGCAGGGGGGAGCTCGGCACTTGCCCGGTGCTAACAGCTGGCCCCAGCTCGCTGCTCGCCCCCTTCCTTCCAGCAGGCGGGATTCCTGCAGCCTAGTTTCAGGCAGCAGGTCAAGAATGATCCTGGCGCCCTCCTGCCGAGCCCTATGCCTCCCCATTCCTGTGGGCGAGCTGGAGCCAAGTTTATCCCTTACACATCTCCGCTGGCTTTGCTGGATTTAGACCGCAGATAAGTTTGGTGCAGGACCTAAATTCCCCTGGCACTAAAGGTCAGGAAAGTGCCACTAACAAGGAAAAGCGAGCACAATCCTTCTAGAACAAAGCCTCATGGCACTGAGCATCTCCCCAAATGCAGGCACATACATATTTATCCACCTCCACAGCCTGGAGTGACTGCCGACAGCCTCCGGCACTGATGGCGAGCCGAGCACAGCACTACTCACTGCACAGCCTGCGGGCAAGGCACCGTGCTCAGCCAGAGAGCAGAAAGCAGGAACAGAGCTGGAGCATCACAGAGCAAGAGCAAGTCAGGGCACACGCAAGGCTGAGCGAGGCTGTAGGTGAACAAAGGGGCTGCCAGGGAGAGAGGAGAGGTTGGGACCTGGGGACAGGGCTCCTGCCCACCACCAGACCAGCCCCCCTGCCCTCCCTGCACAGCCAGCACCCCAGAGGGATCCAGCGGCTCTGGGTGCTGCACAGTGGGGCTGGAAGAGGTTTATGTTAGCAAAGAGCGATCTGGGTGCCAACAGCAATTCATTACAAGCTCTCCAAGCAAAGCAGGCAGGCACCTCCACCACTACCATAGAAGGCACCTACGGGGGGGGGGGGGGGTGGCTAAGAAGCAGGGGAAGCCCACGGGGAGCAGGGCACAATGGGCTGCAGGCAGCCCTGCAGGGCTCAGGCACCAGGACCCCTCCGTGCCAGCCCTGCGTCATGCCTGTGCCCAACTCCCCACAGCCCCAGGAGGGGGCTCAGCAGTGTGCTGGCACCTCCGGCCCTTCCCCACAGAGGGATCCCACAGCCCTGGGAGCCCACAGGAACATCCCACATCAGGTGGGGGTGGCTGCCCAGCAGCTCACACAGCAAGAGATGGGGGCAGATGAGGCTCTGCTCTCCCCTTTGCCCACCGGTGAGGTTCCCTGGGACCCTGGAGGACAGTGCTGGCACCATGTGTCACTTGTCAGCACCCCCCCCCAACCCCCCGCCGCAAGCAGCAGCCTCCTTCAGAGCCAACATCCTGGGACTGGTGTGCAGGGTGAGCTGCAGCTGCGGGGGAAGGCTGTCCTTGTCCCCATCCCGTCCTGGGCTGCTGGGCCCTGACACTGCTCTCCGAGCACCAGCGCCATGAGCTGTATCCCGAGAGCTGAACTCTGCACACCGCATTTCCACTGCAGAAACACCACCCAATCCTTTTACATTGGGAAGGGGAACTCTTGACACTTGGGTCCTGCTGGTGCTGACCCCGAGCTGCAGGCACAGCCCTGCCTCAGCCACCCGGGACTTTGTCCTGCAGAGCCAGAGTGATGTCCCTAATCCCTGTGCACCCTCCTTGGTGCACCAAGGGTGGTGCTGCTGCAGCACCTACGCAGAGCACCCAGGGGCCAGGACCCCGCCATGCTGCACCATCCACCACCTGCTCATCCTTCCTAGATCAGGATTCAGCAGCAGCAGCATCACCCCCTAGCCCCCAGCCTCCCCCTGGTCCCCCTGGGACCCCCTGACCCCAGCAGAAAGCCAACACCTTTCCTACACGAGCCCGATGCCACCGGCCTGTGTGGGAGGGCAGGGTGGGGATCAGGCCCTCTGAGACCACCGGCACCTTCCCCAGCTGGGGAAACTCTCCGGATCCCAGCAGCTCTGTATGGAACTGGTCACCCTGCTTGCTGGGACCACCAATTCCCCCACGGAGCCCCCCAGGCACTCCCACCCCATGCACTCCCATGCCAGGCTGTGACTTTTCACCCTCGCCACCCACGGGGGGGAGGCCAGGACCCCAGCCCCAGGACACCCCGGGGTCTCGCAGGGACGCACACGGGGCAGGGGGGGGTGCTCATTTCCCGATCTCTCCCGCACCGACCCCACGCCCCCCGTTCCCGGCGGGGTGCGGGGGGGACCCGCGGCCCCTTACCGCTCTGCCGGTCCATGGTGCGGAGCCGGGGGCAGGGGCGGCCGCCCCGGGAGCTGCGGGATGCCGAGTGGCGGCGGGGCCGGCTCTCCCGGCGGGGCGGCCGAGCGCCAAGCCCGCCCCTCCCTCGGCGAGGGACAGCCCCGAGTCCCGGCACGGCCCGGCACGGCCCGGCACGGCCCGGCTCCGCCCCGGGCCGCCCCCGCCGCTTTCGTGCCCCCCCCACCGGGGCCAGCGCCCGGCGGCCGCGGGGCTGCGGGGAGAGGGGTGAGTGGTGGTGGGGGGTGTCCGGCCCCGGGAAAGGGGCTGGGAGCCATCGGGGCTCAGTCCCGGACCCCTTCCCGGCCCGGGGGGGGCTGCGGAGACCCCCCCCGCCCCCCCCCTCGTGGCACCGCCTGGAGCGCGTCCCCCGGCATATCCCGCCCGGAGCGCGTTGGGCTTGGAAAATGCGATTTGGGTAAAGAACGCGGGGCTGTGCCCCCGCCCAGAGATCACCCAGGGGCCAAGGATTGCAACCCCCCCCCGTGGCCCATCGCATTGCCCCTTCTCCCGCATCCCCCCAAGTCCCCCGTACCCGTTCCCTCCTTGGCGCGGCTGCTCTCCCCCCTAACAAGGACACGGGGACACCCGGACCTGGGAGGCTGGCAGAGCACGGGGACAGTGTTGGAAATGAGGGGAGCACCTCTTGCACCGTGCTCTTGCCCCCCGGGCAATTACTCTTCCTCCCTACCCCCTCCCCCCCCCCCCCCCCAGCCAGCAGGCAAGCCCCCTGGGGACAGCAGGCTGCCCTGAGGGACACACGAGGAGGTTCCACACATGCCTGGGTAGCACTGGAGAGCAGTACCCAACATGTTCTGCACGTTTTAGCAATTCAGCTCCAGATTTCCCCCCTTTTGGGGCACTGGCAGTGCTGGGCAGAGCAGAGGCAGCTCCTCCTGTGCCCCCCGTGCCTCGGCTGCAGCCAGCCCGGCCCCGCTTGCCCCATGCACCCTCCCATGCAGCTGGAGCCACCCAGCCAGTTCCCCCCTCCTGGACTGAGCTCCATTTTCCTCTCAAGCCACAAACTTGCCACCTCCGGGGCTGTGGTCAGGGCATGGGGCACCCAGAGGCTACCAAACCTGGCTGGGTTGTGGCTGGGATTTGTAGAGCAGCCAAACCAGCAGCGTGGGTTCAGGCACTGCTGGCTGCCAGGGCTGGGGCTCCCTGGGGCAGATCCCAGTGATGGGACCCCACAAGGGTCCTGCCACTGTCTGCTGCCCCAGAGGGCAGGGGAGCTCTCTTGGCTCTGAGAGGAAGCAGTGGCCCCTGCCTCAGTTTCCCCATCTTTGCCATGCAGGCAGTGACGAGGAACAGTTAGTTAGTGCCCATAAAATGCTTTGAAAATGAAAAGCCTCTCATTGTTGTGTTGTTGTTGTTATTATTATTATTAATTAACAGAAGCACTGGCTCCTCCAGGCTTTATCTCTGAAGGTGCTGCTGGAGATGAAGTTTCTCACAGCCCCAGACAGCCGAGCTTGATTTAGGGAGCTGCAGTTTATGGGGGTGAAATCACAAATACAACTGGTTCACTTACTGGTGCACTAACGCTGACAGGAGCAATTACCAGCACAATTTTCCCTCCCTGCTCCCGTCCCCACCAGCACAAAGCTCCCGGAGCTGCCACTGGTGGCAGGGGGACCCACACCAGAAAAGGTGTTAGTGTGTAAATAACCCCATTGGTAAGAAAAACCAAACACCCATGGGTGCTGATTCCCCGGCCCCTGCTGGGCAGCACAGCAGCCCCAAGCCCTGCAGCTTGCCCGCTCCCTGCTCTCCTGGCCCTGGCCAAACCTGAAGAGCAGCAACAAGCTGAATGAGGCAGGAAGTGTCTTGGGTTATTCATTCGAGAAGGGCTTAGTTTGGGGACAGCCTGAGAAGCTGTCATTGCGGCACTTTGGGAGGAGAAACTGGCTCTGTAGCACTACAAGGGTTGTAGGGCAAGGCAACAGCAGGGGAAGCATCAGGAGTTGGGACTGCGCTTTGACCTGTGGAGGTGCACCCTGCTCCCCAGGGGTCCTCCTCATCCCCTGTCCCATGGCCTGGATTTCTGTTCCTGGGGCTAAATGGCGAGGCTGACGGTGCCCCCGCAGCTGCCCCTGGTGGGACCCTGGCTCCCTGCAGATGCACCCAGAGCATCGCCCCACACCACAAGGGGCAGCAGCGACTGACACCATGGGGCTCACATGAAATTAGCCCCTGACAAAACCCAAAGCTCAATACAGAAACAAGGCTCGAAAAGAAAAGGAGACAAAGAGCACAACATTATCTGTGAGACTCCAATTCACTCTCAGGGGTGCAGAGGGTGCCTCTGCCACGTACAGTACTGAGAATCATACAGAGCTGCTATATAGAGATCTTTCTATGTATATATTTATAGGTATGTATATATTTATAGTGCACTGCTTTTAAAACAGCCGGGCCTGCTTCTTCAGCTCATTCCTCTTCCAGAGGGCCAGGCGGTCAAACTCAGCGATGGTCATGCCGAAGATCTGGTAGAACTCCTCCTGGGAGAGGTGGCGCTGGAGAGAGAGGGGCTGCTGGGGCAGGGCAGGGGGCCAGGACCCCCACCCCGGTTTGACGGCACCCACAGGGGCTGCAGGGGGGCAGGAGGGCATGTGGGGGGTCTTTCAGGGTGCAGTGGGGTCCCGCAGCACCTGTGTGCTGCTGGGGTGCCGTGGAGATACTCCTTGCTCATCCATGAGGACAGGCTATGGGGACACCCCCCATGTAACCAGGTACCTCTGCGATCTCCCAGTGAGATTGTGCCCTGTGGGAGAGGCTCGCCTCACCTCTAACCGAGTCCTGTCCACATCTTTGGGCAGCTGGTTCCTCCCCCTCGTCTTCACCAGGAGCAGCTCATAGGGGTATATCTGCAGGGGGACAGAGGGCATGGTAGAGCTCAGGAGACAGAAGAGCACAGCAGTGCGGCCACACCACGTTTAGCAGGGCTTGGGTGGCACAGCTGCCCCCAGGGATTGAGGGGAACAGGGCAGAGGGGGGGGATTTGCTTTCAGGTGGACCCTAATCCACCCTGGGCCACCTCGGTAGCTGTGGAGGGCAACCCGGAGGTCTGCTGTTCACTCTGCAGCGGCAGGAGCGACCCAGAGACAAGCTGAGCCTGGGAGCGCCAGCAGGGCCACCCCTCTCTGCTCCTCACACAGAGACGTTTCTGCTCAGTAAAGGGCTGGGGACCCTGCCAGGATGGGAACAAAGTACAGGGATTGTACCATGGTACAAGGATGGAGCTGTTGGATAAGGAACTGAGGGGAACGAAGGGAGGGCGTTGCAACGAGATGGCAAAACTTCCCCCAACAGGGTCTGGGGATGCAAGGGCACTTCTCTGGGTGTCACCTCTGGGTGGCAGTCACTCCGTGGAGCAGGGCCATCGTACCTTGTACTCTGTGGGGACAGAAAAAGATGGAAGAGACATTAGCCAACATCCCCTCTTCTGTGAGCATCCCCCCTTGGAGCTGCAGAGACACCCTCCCTTCTCCCCATCTCCCCTTCTGGCCCAGACCCCATTTTCTGGAGCTGCCTGCAGCGGGCTGGGCAGCTCCCCGGTGCCCCATACCCATGGAGTCCCCCCCTTTTCCATCCCCAGCCATGCAGCACATTACCTCGCATCCCCCAGTTGACGGCATTGGTGCTGTCGTAGTGGAAAAGCTCCGCGCTGGGAGGCTGTGGGAGGGAGGTGTGGAGAGAGGGAGGGTTGAGAAGGGTCCCCTCCAGACTGACCCCTCCAGCACAGCACCTCCCATGTCCCCAAAGGGGATGGCACCCGCCCAGCCCAAAGCAGGACCCGATCCCTGCACCTGGCAGTGGGGAAACTGAAGCACAGGGAGGGGAATGGACAAGGGAGTGACAAGCCCAGGTCATGGGGAGGCAGCACCAGATCTCCCAGTCCCTATGGCAGAGGAGCAAAGCAACATGACCTGCAGGACGGGGATGAGATCTACAACTGGGGCTGGACCTCCCTCTCCAGCAGTGCCCCACTAAGGTTTATTTGGGGTTGGCACAGAGCAGAGGTGGTAGTGGGGTATGGGGGGGAGCAACAGGAGACACTTACCCTGTGCAGCCCATTCCTCCTGTAGGCAGGGAGGGAGGCCGACTTAGAAATGAGGGGGTCTGCAAGGGAACCACCATAGGGCATGAGGGAAAACGCAGGGGCTGGCCCCACAGCACAGGGCAACCTGTGCCATGCATCCCTTCCCCAATGCATCCCCTCAGTCACTGCACAGACATGCTCCTGCCTCCCCAGGCGAGCTGCTCAGGGTCAATTTGCCTTCCCAGTACTGCCCCATCCCTGCCCAGCACCAGCCTCGCCTGGCTCTGTCCCCTTTCTATCCCCAGCTCATTCCCAGCCCGGCTTCCTCACTCTGGAACTCCCCTCCCCAGCAGCCCTCCCTCCTCCTCCATCCCAAAAGCTCCCTTCCAAACCTCCTTCTCTCCCGGTTTCTCTGTCCCCAGCTCTCCCAGCCCTGCCCTGGCACAACCAGGGGGGCTCCTTCCTCTCCCCATGCCTCCCCAGGTGCCAACACCTCCTCCAGCCCCTGAGCTCCAAGCTCTGGCCCCTGGGGAGGAGCAGGTGCAGAGGGGCGAGGGATGCACTCACCACTGTCAGCCAGGTAGTGCATCTGGGGGGCTGCAAGGGGAGCAGAGCCGGGTCAGGGGGGTGAGAACCACACACTACAGAGCTCCCCCCACCTCGCCCCCCGGTCCTGCTCACAGCCCCAGCTCCGTGAGGGCAGCCATGCCATGAGGGAGGAGAACACGAAGCAGGCAGGGGCATCCACACCGGCAGCAACTCTGGGTGCCAGGAGGTCCCAGCCGTGCCAACAGCACACGGTGAGCCCACGACAGCTCAGAACCCCCCTATGGCTGTGCTTTTTAATTTCCAAGGGCCCTCCACTCCCATGTCCTTCCCCCCTGGGTGGGATGGACGGGCAGACAGACAGATTTCCTTACAGCCATTCAGGGAGCCCTCGTAGCCAGCCGTGTGCAGGGCTTCTCTGCTGCTGGCAGAGCTGCGAGGGGGCGTCCAGGGGTCTGCGTAGGAGTTAGAGCGAGCCTTCATCTCCTCCCTCAGGATCAGCCTGCCGATGCCGCTCTGGATCTAGGCATGCAAGGAAAGCCGCTGGCACCGCTCCCATCCCTGCTGCAGCCCTCCCCGCCTGCTGGCACGTCACCTCCCGGGGACAAGGTGCTGGGATGGGGTGCACCCCAATCCTGCAGCCCCATATTGCAGGCGGCCGAGGGGGGAGAGATGGGAGAGGGCACCCCGACCACAGAGCAAGGAGATGATGTGGAGCTCGCTGCCACCTCTCCAGTCCATCTCCTGCCAGGCAGCGGGCAGGGACATCGCTCACCTTGTGCATGCCCCGCTCGTACCCATCCTCCTCGCCTCCTGATGAGAACCTCCGGGCCCGGGGGGCTGCAAGGAGACATGTGGGGGTCAGATGGGTAAAGGTGGGGATGGGAGGCAGTCCCCAGCTGCATGAGGACAGCCAGGTCCCAAGGGCTGCTAGGATTTGGGGGTCACTCTGGTGGGTATCTCAGCTCAAACCCATCTTCAGGTTGAGGTCCAGCCCAGGGAGATATCCTCCCTGGGGGTGCCCGATTTGGGGGTTGGGGAGGGGGTTGGGTTTCCCTTACCCACAGCACTGGGGGGGGTTGCTGTTACCTTTGGGGGAGCTTTGGAAGGACCAGTACTCTGACTCGGAGTGGTAGTAGGTGTCTGGGGAGTAGGCAGGGCTGTACTTGGACGACTGAGCGATGTCTTCACTCGTTTTGCTTTTGGTGGCTGCAGGGATGTCGTCTGCAAAAGGAGCAGGGAGAGCTGTAATGAGGACACTGAGTCCCTCTGGCAGCACCTGCAAACATCCACCCTGGGACAAACACAGATCTTCCCTCCCCTCTTCCTGGTGGCCACCAGCCATTTGTGCTTGGGACAGCCCAGGGCAGAGTTGGAAATAATCCATTTTCAGACTACTGACACCTCCTGGAGAGATAGATGCAGTGGCAGACAGTGGGGATGGTCACAGTCCCACCAGGGAGAGGGCAGCCAGGGAGTTACTACTGGAGCAGGTGGCAGCAGCAGAGGGGTGGTCCCAGCAGCTCCAGCTGGGGAAAGGGCTCAACCCCCAGGGCCAGGACACTTGCAGGGGAAGGGGCACAAAGGACAGACTGTGTGGGACCCTCTCCTGCTCGCACAGCTCGGTGGCTGTCCCGCAGGAGCCAGTCACCAGGCAGGAAGGTGCAGGCAGAGCCACCCCACCACCCAAGCAGGCACAGGGGAGCCCACAGTGGGCAGCTACTTACAGCAGCGGGTGCAGGCAGCCAGTGGGGATTTGGGCAGGTGGGGAAGGGGAGCCCACAGAGAGAGAGGAGACACGGTTACTGCTGCAGGCTGCTGCTGCCCCACTGAGTCAGCAAGCAAGCGGAGGGAATGCAAGCCAGCCCCCCCACACCCCAAGCCTCTTCCCCACCCTCCAGCACCCCCGGGCACATTTCCTGCAGTGTCCATCCGGGACAGGCTGTGATTTTATCCAAGGGCTCCATGTGAAGCTGTAAAGCCCTGTCTTCATCCCTTTTCTGAGGCTGCTCTGACTCCTGGGGTCACCCTCGTCCCCTCTGCCACCCCTCATGGCCTCAGCCCCCCTCCTGGGGCTCTTCCTGTCTCCTGCCCAGCCCTCACCTGTGCCCTGCTCCTGCCCTCTCCCGATAACCCACCGAGCCTGGGCTCCCCGCTATCATCCTCCCATGAAGGACACATCCCAAGGCTGCCTTTTTCTTGGAGGATTCTGGAGGGGTAGCAGGCACACTGGCCCCACAACCCAGCTCCCCAACACCTCTCCTCCCCACGTCTCCCCCCATGCCCCTAACAGAGACCCGGGCTGGTGAGCAGGCCCTGCAACCAGCATGCACACTGACCGTGTCGCTTGTAGATGGGGGGTTTCCGGTAGATGTTGCTCTCGCCGGCTGCTGGGGAAGAAGGAAGGGAAGAAAAAAGGGAAGAAGGACAGACGGGGAGGTCAGTGTGAGCTTGCGGAGAGTGGGCGGAATAGAAGCCCTGCAGATGCTGCCCCACGTCAGCTTCCAGCACGCAGCTGCCTCCAGATCCAGGCGCCTGGCCGGACCCAGGCTGGCTCCATACTGGGGCTGGGAGCTCAGCCGGGGCTGGGGCAGGCAGCGGTGGGCAGGGGGACATGCAGAGAGCGCCCCTGGTCAGCATGCACTGCGGGAGGGGGCACAGCTCGAACCGCCGGCCCTGCCAGCCAGCAGCAAGGCACCGCGGCTCTGCCTGAACCAGGTTCATGGCACTGGGGGGGGGGACGCTAGCGCCTGAGAGAACCACCTGTGAGCTGCCTCAGGGGCACAGCAATGTCAGCCAAAGCCTCTTTCTGCAGCAGAGAGAGAAAAGAGCCAGCTGGGAGGGAAAGCGAGCTGCAGCCTCGCTCTGAGAGCCCAGGGGCCGGGCAGCTGAGCTGGCGGAGCAGGGAGGGGGCCATCCATAAAGCACCGACCTGCAGGAGGGCAGGGCCCTGCTGGGGATGGGGGGGACAGGAGAGGAGCAGAGGACCATGGTGGGGAGCCTGCAGGTGTCCTTGTGGCCTGGGGTGTCACCTGTGTGCCGGGCGTCCTGTGCTGTGGTGGTAGGACAGGGCAGAGTGAGAGGCCTGAAGCTGGGCAGGTTGGGCTGGGGCTCTCCTCTGGCTCCCTTGCCCACGCAGGAGGACAGCTGGGTGGCTCTGCCTGCTTCCCTTCCTCCTCTCCCCCCTCTGCCCCCCCACGCCCCCCACCCCCGTGGGCTCTGTGTGGCTGGGAGCAGGTGGTGGCCCTTACCTGGTGGCCCCCTGCAATCCCTGCAGAAGGGGAGCAGGCAGCTGGCAAGCCCAGAAGAGTCTGGGGGGAGGGAGCGGTGGGCCCTAGGGGGAGTATAAAATAGTCATCTGTAAAGGGGGAGCATGGAAAGGCCTCCGGCAGACATGTGCTGCCTTGTGGTCCTGGGGGAGGCAGGGGGGGGGCAGGCTCCGCAGGGCATCATCTGGTTGTGCAAGTGGCAGGCAGGGGGGGACAAGAGGGACATTGAGGGGGTCAGGCAGACTCCAGGGGGCTCCGGGACACCTGGGTGGTGATGGAGAGGGGGGAGAGTTTGAGCTGCAGGTCCTGTTTATGGATGGCCTCTGCTGGGAGGAGATCCTGCTGCCAGCTGGCTCTAGGCAGGCGGCGGAGCTACGCATGCGACACACAGGGGACGGCACATGCGGGCATGCGACAGACATGGTGCTTCCCTAGGGGGCCCGGGGGCTCTGGAGCCTACCTGGAATGTGGAAATGCTTGGGTGCTTGGTATGAGGTTGGAGTAGAAGACCTCACATCTAACTGGCTATAGTAGGGGGAGCTGCGCCCGCTTTCTGTGCCTATGCGGTGCCGAGCAGAAGCAGCCATAAGTGACCGAGAGAGAGAATGAGAGGCAGAAGAAAATGGGCGTTAAAGGCAGTGGTGTCAGACAAGTGGGGCACGGCCCACATGGCGGTGGGGACGGGGACATGCGCCAGGCTGCAGCCCAGGGTGGGGTGTGCCAGGGGGGGAATTTCCTGCACCCCAGAATGAAGGCAGGCTGCAGAGGGGGCCCCACGGTAGGTGATGTTAGCTCAGGACCTTGGTAGTGCAGTGCAGGGGCTGCATGGGGAGGCAGCACCTCCGGACACACCAACCTCGGCTTCTCCCGTCCGCTCCTCCCTGGCTCCCAAGGCCAGGAGACCAGGCACACCACTCTCTGCTTGCTTCCCTGCTGCTCTCCAGGGTGCATGTGTGCATGTACAGGGCCCTTCCTTGCAGCTCTTGCAGCACAAGCACCCCTGTGCATGTTCCCTGCAGCTAGCAAGAGAGCTGAGGGAGCTTCTCTCCTCTAGGCCTTCCTGGATCTTGGGAACCACCCCCCCCCCCCCAGCCAGTTCTCCATGAGCCCCAGCTCAGGTCTGAGCCCCCTTGGCCTCTCCTTGGAGGAGAACTGGAGGATGCACACAGCGGAGCTGGCCACTGCCAGCCCCCAATGGACCCCACCACTCCTGAGTCCTTGTCCCAGCCTGCTTGCCAGGGGATGGACCACTGACGTCCCCTGAGAGAAGCAGGGGGTGACCCCTGCTCTGTGTGGGGGTCTGAACATGGCCCAGCCTGGGCTCACAGCCGAAATCCTCACCTGAGCGGTAGAAGTGGTGGGGGGACCTCGGGATGGTGGGGGACATGCCCTGCCGGCTGTAGGTGGGAGAGTCGATGTAGCCGGGGCTGGAAGCTCGCCTCTGTCGCATGTCAAAGCTCTCATAGATGTCCTGGGGATGGAGAGGAGCAGGGGTTAGAGCTGACAGGGTGAGCAAGGGAGGCAGGCTGGTGCAGGAAGGCACCCTGTGGCCAAGGATGCTGGCATGCACACGTGTCCTGTGGGGGCTGCAGGATGTCCCCAGGCTGCTCACCGAAACATGGGCAGCAGAGCCCAGGGGCTGGGCAGAAGCAGCCCTAAGGGATGGGGTTCCCCCATCCCCCCACCTTGGGCCAGCACTTGGCAGGGGATGTTGAGCAGAGCCCCAGCAGTGTCAGTCCCCGTGGTGACATTACCTGCGAGTACGGGGAGAGGGTCCCCAGGGACTGGAGGCAGCGGGAGGTAGAGAGGAGAGACAGAGACAGTGTGTGAGTAACGGGAGCGGTGACAGCAGGGCCACACAGTGGCTCGTTTTCCCCATGTCACAGTGAGAACAGACTCATTGCCCTTTTGGCAGTCTGTCCCTGCACCCTGGCAGGATGCGAGCCCACACCATGCCCTCCTGCTTGTGGCTGCCATGGAGAGTTCCCTACCACCTCACTGAGGGTGATCTCTGCTCCCCTGGGGACAGGTCCCCCCTTGTCCTGCCTCTCCACAGGGCTCCTGGACACTCGGGTGAAGCCCCACACCATGTCCCCAGACCAGGGTCTGGCTCTGGGCATGTCCGGGCTCTCAGTACCTCCCCATAGCTATATCTCTCCAGTGTCTCATCCGACGTGTATCTGTGATAGGGCTCGTATGAAATGAGGTCAGGACGCTGCACTTCATAGATGGCTTTTATCTTGGGAAGAGCTGCCAGGTCTTTGTAATTAAGGATCTCATTATCCACTTTAGCCTAGGGAGAGGGAGAGACAGAGACAGAGAGACAGCGTCCTGGTTTCAGTTAGGACAGAGTTAATTTTCCTCCTAGTAGCTGGTAGGGTGCTATGTTTTGGATTAGGATGAGAAGAGTGCTGATAACATGCTGATGTTTCAGTTGTTGCAGAGCAGTGCTTACACCAAGACAAGGACATTTCAGCTCCTCACTCTGTCCTGCCAGCAGGCAGGCTGGGGGTGCAGCAGGAGCTGGGTGGGGACAGACCCAGGACAGCTGACCCAAACTAGCCAAAGGGGTATTCCATCCCATCTGGGGTTATGCTGAACAATATATAGGGCTGACTGGCCAGGGTGGGGGGGCTGGACTGCTCAGGGATAGGCTGGGCATCAGTCAGTAGGTGGTGAGCAATTGCATTGTGCATCACTTGTTTGTACACATTATTATTAGTACTATTATCATTATTGTTATTATTATTATTGTTATTATTATTTTCCTGTCTTAATAAACTGTCTTTACCTCAACCCACAGGCTTCACTTTCCCATTTCTCTCCCCCATCCCAGAGAGGGAAGGGGGGAGGGTGAGCAAACGGCTGTGTGGTGTTTAGCTGCCGGCCGGGTTAAACCACGACAGACGGAAAGGGAGAGAAGAAGAGGGAAGGGGAGGCTGGAGCACACAGCGCAGAGCTGGCACAAGCACGCAGAGCCCCAGCATCACCACAGCAGGGGCGAGAGGTGAGCAGAGGCAGCCAAGAGGCAGTAGCGGGATGGGGCAGAGGAGCTGGGATGAGGGGACAGCGGGACAGCGTCCTTCTGGGTGCTCCACTCTGTGCCAATGGGGCAAGGGGACACAACTCCTCCATGCTGCTGTGGGGCTGGGAACTGTCTCCCCCTCCCTGAGTCACCCCAAATCCATGGTCACAGTGCTGCCCTGTGGGGCTGAGGGCAGAGCTGTACTTACGCAGATGACTCTGTTAGGGGAGCCGATGCTGGACCCAGGGGGCGAGATGGAGGTTTCTGATGTCCTTCTGTGCTGTGGGGGCAGAAGAGTGAGGGCAGGTGAGAGCCCAGGCAGAGCCCAGCCCGGGCAGGGCAGTGGGGGCAGTGAACAGTGCTCGTGCTGGGGCTGAGCCTTCCTGCAGGGGCATCCCCCACCCACTACCCATGACCTTTTCAGGGGATGTGGGGCAGGAGAGGGGCTGCTGTGCCCAACACTATCCCCCTGACAGTGGGGACGGGGCTTGCACAGGCTCAGGAACAACGCTGGGCAGGGACACTACTGCAGCAGGAACCAGGACTCGAGGGTGGCATTGCCTGGGATGTGCCACCTCTGGGAGAGACCCCTCACCTTGCCACCTACCTTCAGCTTCTTTTCTGCTCGGGCCGCCTGCTTGCAGATGGGGTGCCACACTTCAGAGCCTGAAGTGCAAAGGGAAAGTGTTTGAGCACCGTGCACTGCCTGCACCCCCAGTGAGAGATTCTCCTGTCTTGTCCCTGCATGCCCTAAGCCTTGCCATCTCCAACACTGTCCCAGAGCCTGCTGTCCCCCAGGGGGACGTGTCTGTGCTTCCCCCAACTGCACTGAGCAAGAAATGCACTGGTGCACGAGCTGCATTGGTGCTCGAGGTGTGCAAGTCCTGCACACTGCAGGGACAGCTTCTGGGGGTGGCTGTGCCCCAGGGGGACACCTGAGCATGCTGTCCCTGCTGCCCACAATGGGGGTTTTCCTGGGACCCCCACCCTGGCTCTCGCTGTGCACAACAGCCCCTTCACCACCCATGTGGCAATCAGTGATTTGGGATGATGGGCAAGCACAGGTTATGGAGAGGAACCAAACCCTGCACGGGAGCCAGACCTTAAGGTGGCTGAGGGCAGGGACAAGCTGCTCTGACACCAAGCCAGTGGCCATGCTGGGTGACAGCCTCACCCCTGCAGTGCTGCTCTTGGCATAACCTGGGCAAGAGGCAGACGGAGTGGATGGGATGGGGTCCCGGGCCACCTCCCCTGGACCAGGGAACATCCCTTGCCAGCACAGCGGGGTTCCTACCTGTGAGGTACATCTCCTCGCCTTCCGTGAACATCTGGTGGCAGCGCACACACCTGGCACAGGCAGGGTGGTAGTGCTTCCCTCCTGCCTGCAAGGAGAAAGGGCCCTGAGCAAGGCAGGACACAGTGGAAGCCGTTCATCCAGAAACAGCCCCAGTCTGGCAGGCTTGGGGCTGGACTGGAAGCCCAAAACCAGAGGCTAGCAGAGCCGGGAGGTCCCAAAGCTGAGCCAGAGCTGGGCTGCTCCCCCTGCTCTTTCACAGCAACCAGGGGTTTTATTGGTAGCTTGCCTCCACACCTAGCATTTCAGTTATAGGCTCATTTTCTGGGCTCTGGAGCTGGGAGGAAGGAACCAGCTCAGGGCTAGGAGGAGTCGGAGCACAGCCCCAAAGGACGTTTTACTCCTGCAATAACCCAAGAGAGAGTGGAGGATAATTCAGGTTGCCAGAGGGAAGATGAGGCTCTGGCTGACAGAGGGAATGGTGATGATAGAGGGGGCTGGAAACAGTTGGAAACGGGAAGGATCAATATGAAAATCTGCTGTGAAGATTAGTGAGAGCAGCCACCAGGAAAGTGGCAATTGCCCACAAAATCAGCAGGGAACCAATCCCCGCAGGGTGTGGATGGCAGCCAGGGGCTTTTCCCCTCTGGTCTATGCTAAAAAGGACCCACCATCACATGGGGCTGTGCTGGCCAGAGACAGATATAAACACGTGGAAAAGAGACTGAAAACAACCCCAGCTCCTAAAACACCATGGGCTAGCACGCCTGCAGTCCCAGCCCCACATTTCCCAGTGGCTGCAGACATGGGCCCCTGGTAAGGGATGTGTTGCAGCAAGGAGAGCTCGGTGCTCTCAGACCCTCTTGGTGTCCCCCTGTGGCTCAGTGTGCTGACACTAAGGGAAAAAATAACACAAACACCTTTTGGTATATGGGAAAAGTGCTGCTGCTTTGGGTTGAACCAGGCTGGGAGGGAAGCGCTGCAGACATGGGATGCAGGAACACAGTGGGGCCGGCTGCTCCCCATCGTGCAAACAGACACCCCATGTCCCCAGCACCCACCGCTCCTCTCCAAAACTGTGTGCAAGCCCTGCTTGGTTTATACTGCTTAATATTACAACTCATAAAGGCCGGCAGAGGCTGCGGGTGGCAGGACCTGTTTGTTACCACTTGGAGTCCCTCATAGCCTCATTAATCATTCATGCCTGGCCGTGCAGCTCCAGCCCCTTTGAAAAGCCCCCAGGCTGGCAGATAGCACAGGAAGGCTTGTTAGGGCCTACAATTATGTAAAGGCGCCCTTTCCATCCTGTGCCCCACCAGGGAAGACGATTAAAACTCTGGTTTCACAGGGAGTGCTCAGGAAGACGCTGAGCAGGGCCAGGAGCAGTGCCAGCTCCCTGGGCTGCCCGGCACGGCCACCGGGACCCCAGCACTGTGCTGCTCTCAGCTCGGTGACAATGCCTGCGAGGAGGTGGCACCTCGCCTGGCACCTCGCTGCTGCCTGCAGGGACCCCGGTGCCACAGCGCATTACTTCCAGCCTGGCAGAGCGCCGCACACAAGGAGCGCTCTCTGGTGCTGCTGTGAGGTTGTGGCTGCTCGGGGCATCCCCTGGGATCCAGCCAGCATCTGTCTCCCCACGGCCCAGCACAGGCAGAGCTGGCCGTCTGCCCCATTGCATATGTAGGGGCAGGAACATCGCACGCTTATCCTAAGCAGATGTGGCTGCACCAGGCAAGGAAAACCCTAAGAGCAGTGCAGTGAGCATCCTAGAGATGGAGAGTGCCAAGAGCCTGGGTTCCCAGCTCCCTTTCACTCCTTGTATCTGTCCCTAAACCCCATGCTGGAGGGGCAGAACATCCCGCACACTGTCCTGCTCCTGCTTCCTGCCCCTCAGCACTGCTGGCAGGTGGATGGGATGCAGCGGGTGGTTGAGGATGCTCCAGTCCTGGCCGGGTGCTGTCAGGGACCAGACTGCCCCAGGGGAGTTGAGGCTCAAGCTGAGGGAGCCTCTGGCTTCACCATGCTCCTCTTGGAGGTTTACTAAGCAAGCAGCCCTGTGCTGGGCAGCTGCTCCGCAGCAGCTGCTGCAGTGCTGAGCTCATGCTCGCAGCAGCCAGCACGAAGCACAAAGTCAGCAGAAAGCCTTCCCAGGCAGGGGCAGCTCCCCGAGGGAGGATGAGGAGGAAGATGCTGGTGGGTCCTGGTTCCAGCTTCAGGAGAGGTCCCTGGGCAGGTGCAGTGCTCTCAGGCCTGCCAACCAGCAGGGGCCAGAGGGTGAGTGCTGCTTGTAGGTGTGCCAGGCTGGAGGAGCCCTGGGGCAGCTCCAGAAGGCTCCAGCCCCCTCCTCCAGCTGCTGGCTACACAACTGCTGCTGCTGCAGCCCATAGAATCTGTGCCTGGCTTGCTGCAGAGCCATGGTACCTCTAATTTTGGGATACTGCTTCCTATTGCTGCTGGCTGGGGTGGCAGAGAAGCGGGCACCAGTACTGCTCGGGGAGCAGTTCCCTCCCACCCTGCTGCAGAGGGGAAGGGCTCGGGAGTGACTTCGCTGCCTCTCTGTGCCACCACAGCAGGACCAGCAGATCTGAAAACCACAGTGTGTTTTGTTCTGACATCTTTCTCTCTGCCTCCCACCTCCTGACCCTTTAGATTACGCTCAGACCAGATCACACTCCAGCCTTCTTCCCCCTGCAGATGTTGGGGATAGAAACACAAAGCAAGCGTGTTTGAACCCCCATCCCCAGGAGCAGGACTGCAGGAAGGACCAGCCCCAAACGGCCTTTCTTTCCCCCCTAAAACTACAACCTCCACCAACATGGCTGCTCCTGACCGTACAGCTCTACAATCGCCCCAAACCTGCACCATGATCACCTGCACCCGTTGGATCCCTGCCTGCTGGAGCAGCTCCTGCTGGCCAGGATGCTGAGCAAAAGCAAAACCTCCTCCATATCTGTCCCAGGGCAGGGGCCCTGCTCTGGTGGCAGCCCTGGGGGGTGCATGGGGAGGCTGCGTGCAGACAGGACGCTGCAGTCCTCCGCACAGCTGTGCTGGATGTGTTTCCAAGGCAACTGGCAGGCTGCTCGCAGGGATGCACTCAGCAGGCTTATTATGCTCTGGAGCTGGGCATGGTGGCAGCTGGTTAGGGCTGGTGTCCCCACAGCCGGGGCTCTGGGTACATCTCAGCACGGCCAGTCACCACTGGGGGTGTTTCGGGGGCTCGGGGACCTGAGCCACCTCTCCAACGGTGTGCAGCATGGTGCTGCTCCTCCTCTAGCCCTGGCTCCTTCTCCTCCCACTGCCACCCTCCAGACAAGGCGCTCAAAACGTGCCCACACCCCTGCTGCAGGGACAGCCACGGCCTTGAGGGAGGGATGCTGTGACAAGGGTGATGGGTAGGATGCACACAGCCCCCATTACAGGGCAGGACAAGTGGCTATGGCCTCGAGACTCACCTCCAGGACCCTGCCGCTGATGTACCGGTCACAGGTCTCGCACTTGATGCCGAACTGGGCATGGTAGTCAGACTCGCAGTATGGGACTCCATCCCTTCAGGAGAGGGAGGAGAGTGAGGTGAGGCAGTCGAGCTGGGCTGGGCACCACCTGCAGCATTGCCAAAATCCCCCCAAGCCCAAACAGTACCCCGGGGAGCCACCTGCCACGGGGCACTTGCTTTCTGCCTGCCTGTGGAGCCCGATCCTGGCAGGAGAGGGCACCTCGGGCACCAGCCCTCGGCTTCTCCATCTACCTTCTGCCTGGATTTGTCTTACTACCTTTCCCCAGCTCCTGCTCCCTGTGTATTCAAGGACAAATTCAGCACTGCCTTATGCTGTTTTGCCTTTGATGCCTCTACTGAAAAGCAGCTCAGACACCAAACCACCCCCTCCCCACGGCCAGGTGCCCAATCTCCCAGCACTGCAGCCCCAGCAGCAGGGGATGGCCCCACCAAGCCCAGCCAGTGGCACTCACTTGCTGATGTACTCCCCAGTGAGGATGATTCCACATGTTTGGCACTTGAAGCAGCTGACGTGCCACTGCTTCTCCAGTGCCAGGAGGGACTGGCCTTGCTTGATCTCCTCCTTGCAGCCTGCGCAGTCTGGGGGTTGGCGAGAAGAAGGAGGACGCATGAAAACACCGCTGCCCCGTGGGGATCCTTTCTTTTCCACTGGTGGGAAGATGCCACCCTCCTGCCCATTCCCACAGGGAGCCAGGAGGAAAGCCGCCTGCTGGAGCTGGGACCAGCATGGCACAGAGCCAGGGCTCCCTGGTGACCTGTCCCTGGGGGCTCCCCGAGGGGCAGGGGCAGTGGGAAGCCCCCGGCAGTGAGCGGAGCAGAGGAAGGGCTGTGCTCTCCAGCAGCCATGTCCGGCCCTGCCACGGTATTTATGAGACTCCCTTCCTTCCCCGCTTCCCCCGGCTCCTGCCAAGGCTGGGAGCAGGAAGCACATGGGCCTCGGACCCCTGACCTTGGCTCCTCATCCTCTTCTTCCCTATGCAGCAGGTTCAATGGCTGGACAGGGTTTCTCCTTAACCCCCTCCCTGCTGTCCTCCTTCCTGCAGCGCTGCGGAGGCGCAGCAGCACCACGCAAGCAGGCAGGGCTTCCCACTCAGCCCAGCCTCCAGCAGCTCTGCACCTAGCCCTTGCCCACTGAGCAAAGCTGGGGGGATTTTTGACCTTCCAAGGCCCTGGCCAAAAGCAAAAAAAGCAGTTGCATCAGCTTGGCTGAGTCAGGATCCAGCCCTTCTCACACGCAAGTGCTGCTCGCCTAGTTCTTAAGTTGCTGGGGCTGCAGGGAGAGGCACAGCATCATTCCTCTGGGGAGGTCCTCCCCACTGAGGGCACCAGCTGGGCTCCAGCAGCCTCAAGTGACACCCCTGCAGGGTGGCAGTGCTAGGGCCACCAGAGGAAACACAACAGGAGGGAAGCCAGGATGGCACCATGTGCCTGGCTGCTGCTGCTGGATAAAGCATGGTGCCCTTGGGTAACCTTGCTGTGCACACTGGGGAGGAGCTGGACTGCTGCCCTATGGGAGGCAGCAGGTGCTGTGGGCTGGCCACAGCATGCCCCGGGCAGCTCGCCCACTTGGCTCGGGGTGGCAATGAGGATGGGGAAGACCTGTCTGTGAGCCTCAGCCACATCCCCAAATCAGGCAAGCTCATGGTGACACCTGGCCAAACCCGCCCAAAACATTGCTCTTGCTGTGATTTAGGTTGGGATCATCAGCACAGGCAATGAGCCTGAGAAATGTTCCTAAGTTGGTGGAGGCAGTGAGCAATGGCAGCCCTTGGGCAGCCTGTTGAGCCTCTGGCACAGGGACGGGGTGGCAGCACCCACCCAGGTCACAAACGGGCCAAGGGAGTGACTGAAACCAGTGGTGACCTGCAGCCCTGGGTGGAGGCCAGGACTGTCCTACTCCTCCTCCAAAACCTGCAAGCACTTGTGCAGGACTACACGCCAGCTCCCAAACCCTTCCCATCACCTCCTCGAGCACTGGCATGGGCAGCTCTGCCCAGCACCAGCCTGGGGAAAAAGGCACAGCTGTAAGCATGGGGGAGACCCAGGGGATGGGCTTAGCAAAAGGATTTCAGGGGAAGCATGAACAGCCCTGCTAGCCCCAAGGAGCAGGGCCTGCAGGAGCTCCTGTGGTCTCTCCTTGCAGGCGTCACATAACACCTGCGTAACTTACGGCTGGGTCCATGGATCTTGATGGGTTTGGTGCTGATGAGCGAGTGGGAGCAGTTCTGGCAGACACAGTCCTTCCCGCTGAACGTGACCTTGTCTCCAATGGGGAACGGCTTCCTGTGGCCAAGGAGAAGGGGAGAAATGGGAGCCATATGTTCGGTCCACAGCTGCAGGTGAGGGCAGGCAGTGAGCTGGGCACTGAGGCAGCTCTCCAGCTTGGACCACCCCATAACCTCCCAAGGATTTCCACCAAGAAAACCAGGTGCCTGTGGAGGTGCACCCACCTCTGCACCCTCTCTGTCCCCTGGTGTTGGCAGGGGCTCACCTGCAGGTGCTGCAGACGAAGCACTTGGGGTGGTAGGTCCTGCCCAGCGCTGAGATGACCTCTCCAGTGATGAAGTCCCCGCAGCTGTCGCAGCGGGTGCCGTAGAGCTGCTGGTAGTCATGGGTGCAGATGTACTCCTGGTTCTTAAAGAAGAAGCCTGACTGGGCCAGGTCACAGCCACACACTGCAGGGGGAGGACACACACCCGTCAGGGAGTCAGGGGGCGGCTGCACCCCCCAGGCTCAGGCCTGGGGCCTCGATTGGGTTTTCCCAGCCCTATTGGGCAGGTTGAGGTGAATCCTTTCCCTGCTGCTGCCCCAGAAGGGCTCTCAGGGCATCCCAAAGACGCAGGTGTCTGCAGGCCTCTCAGAGGGTTTGTTTTCCCTGCCCACCAGGCCCACTGGGACCTCCCCCAGCACCACAAGATGTCAGTGTTGGGCTGCAGCAGGGTGCAGGATGGGGCCGCTAGGGAGGCATCCAGTCCCTTCCTTCCCTGCAGCTGGAGCCGTGGGTGGTGCACAGCCCAGAGTGATGCACAGAGACATGGCAAGCCCTGGTTCTCAGTGTCATTCCCCTCCTGCATCTACAGGGAGACCTCAAGAGCATCCAGCCCCGTAAGGAACCTCAGGAACAGCACAGAGACAGGCTCCAGGGGCCTATGCACAATGCCCATCACCTCTCCTGCAAGGTGATGGGGTGCAGCGGGGTGGCCAACTGAGCACCTGCCAGCACAGCCCAGTTCCCTGCTTTACCCAGGGCAAGAAAACTCGAGGCAGGATCATGCCTGGCTGGCTGTGGGGCCCAGAGTGCATCTTCACAGGCTGCCCTGGCTGTGCCGGACTCTTGTGGATGTGGTGGGGATGAGCCTTGAGGCTGATGTGGAAGCTGGTGGCAGCGAGCCTGAGGTGGCATGGGTAAGAACTGAGAGGGAAGGTGAGACAGGAGGATTTCCTCTCATTATTTATTCCATTTCACTGGAAAGCAGGCATCAAGCTCTGCCAAGATCTCCAGCCAGCTCCGTCCCCTTTGAAGCCAGTGGCTGCCTGAGCACCTGGTTGGGGGGAGCAGCCTTTGCTCCTCGCAGACACCTCATGGTACTGAAGGACCCAGCAGCCCCCAGCCACGTGTGCAGCTTCCAGGGAGTGACAGCACCCAGGTCTCTGGCACCCCTGTACCTGGTGGCTTTGGCATCCTTCAAGGGACATGGGCAGCCCAGTGCCATTGTGCCCTGCCCTGTCCTACCTTGGCAGGTGAAGCAGCGGATGTGGAAGTGGTTGTTCTGCACGCGTACCACCTCGCCCTTGCAGGTGTCCCCGCAGCGGTAGCACTGGATGACAGAGGAGCCGCTCCCAGGGGTGTAGGGGCTTTGCTGGTAGGGAACTGCTGGCAGGAAGGAGGGAGGGAAAAACGAGACGGAAGGGGTCTGTTAGCATTTGGGACGCAGCCTGGCTGGGCGTCATGGCACCGACAGCCCTGCTTCAGGCAGACATTAGGCAATACTGAAGCTAAAAAGCAGACAAAACCATGCCGGTCCCTGGTGGCCCTGACCTGGGTGCACATCCCTGCCCAGGTTTGGGATTCCCTGTCCCCACAGAACTGCAGCCACCCACATGTGGCTCACAGGCCTGCATCCCAATGCTGCTTCTTGCAGGTCCCTTTCAGAGTGCACATGCAGAAGGGGTCCAGGTCCTCTCCTGGGGATGCTCTGGGAGGCTTCCTTCAAACATACAGGTGCCTGAGGGTGCAGGGCAAGGAGAGCAACACCCCGAGAGTCAGCCCCTCACCAGAGCACAGCGCAAGCACCCGGCCCTGCTCGCTGCCCCTACACAACCGCATCACCTGTGCCATCACCCCCAAAGCCGTGCACAGCTCCCTGATGCTCTCCTGTCCGCAAAGCAGGTGTAGAAGGAGCACGCAGGGACTGGCCACCCCGACTGCCCTGCTTGGCTTGGCTCCACCAGCCCTGCCTTGCTGTTGACCTGCTCATTTGTCAGCAGCATGGGAATGAACAACAAGCTTGTGGAGCTTCCACTTGTTTGTTTGGGAACTCGACGGAGAAGTCGTTTTTCAAGGAGCTGCCAAGGATGGCAGCAGCTGAGAGCCTTGGCCTGGGCAGGTCTCACCTCCTTGGCCAGCAGCAGCAGCCCCACCACTCCTTCTGCAGCGGCACTGGGACGCATGCAGCCTCCATGCTCAGCAGGACGGGCACACAGGGACACCGGAGTTCTAGGGAAAGCCGTCTGGGTGCTCACCCCACTCCTTGACCCTCTTCTGGCAGCTCTGCAGACCACTGTGGTGGACAGATGCACTGCAGCCTCACCCCTACCCCACGGGAGGAACAGCGCGGAGCAGAGGTCTTTCTGCTGACTCAGCACACCCCAGACACGCACCGCAAACACCGCGAGGAGCAGCCCCTGCTCCACCTGCACGCTGCTCACAGGAGCTTCAGGCTGTCCCTCGCCATGCTAATTGTGGCTGGCACAGACCGAGAAGCAAGGCCTTGTTTGCTGCGAGGTTTCAGAGACAGACTTGCAATTTGGGCAACCTGGCCACTGAAGGGCAGGGATTTCAAAGGACTGGAGACTTTCTGACCCAGAGCTAAACTGCGTACCCAGGAACAGGAGACGCAGCAGGCTGAAAGCTGGCACGCCAGCACCCTGTGGAGCAGGGAGGATGGGGCACAGGACAGAGGAGCTCACTCATCGGAGAGGCTCTGCATTCACTGAGGGGCAGATCGGGTGTCAGGGAACAGAAACAGCCCATTATTGGCCTAAAAAGCAAAGAAAGAAAAGTCAAAGTGAGATTAGAGACCATCTCATGGTAAAAGCCCATCTCACGGGTCAAGCACCCATGGACATGCTCTAGGACATGTGGGGCTGCTTGCTGCTACCACCCATGGGGACACAGCAGGGTGACAACATGCTGGTCCCCCTGACTCTGCTCTGTGCCCTGGGGCTGTGAAGGGACAAGGACTGGAGACTGCTGCTTCTCTGCTGTCTTGGGAAGCTAGGCTGAGGGCTGCGAGGAAAGCTGAGATGCTCTATGAGAATCCCCCTGCCCCTCTGCAAAGCTCAGGCTCCAGTCGTGGCACAAGCTCCTGAGAGCTGCTGGGATTTCAGATCACCTTGGGGTCCCAAGCAGAATGGAGGGCACCCATAAAAGCAGCAGTGTCTCCACCCATGCTCCTGCAGGGACGCACAAACCCTGGGAAGAAGGGTCCAGGACTTCCTGTAGCAGCTGTGAGCCCATGAATGCTGCAGCAGCAGGGGGAACCCTGGGCTGGTCCCAACAGGAGCACTCGGGGATGGGTCTCCTGCAGTCAGGGGACATCCCTGCTGGAAGGGTGTCCAGCAGAGCAGAGCCACAGCACTGACACCTTTCATCCCATGCACCCCATGCTCACACCCTGGCAGGGAGCGAAGCAGGAGTCAAGCCCTGGGACGCAGCCATGGCAATGCACACAGCTCAGCCAGAACAGCAGGAGGTGGGGAAAGGTGGTGCTGAAAGGCTGCAAATTACATCAGCATTTAAATAAACATTAATAATAATAAAGAGGAAAAAAAAAAAAAAACCACCAATGTCAAAAAAAGCATCAACATCATTTATTTGGGGCTTCTGGTCTCTAGGGAAAGTGTTTGTGTGTCCATATGGCCATATGGTGCTGGTGGGCCTGAAGGGAGAAGAGGGAAAGGAGCTGGGGATGGGAGAGGTGATGGAGAGGTGCCCGTGGCTGTCACCGTGCTGGCAGGGATGACACCCATGGAGTCACTCTACTGGCATCCACGGGGACAGGAGCCGGCTTAGGGCACCGCCACCATCCTGCTGGCTTTGTTCAGTGCTAAGACCCAAGCTCCCCGGTTTGTGATTAGGCTCAGCCCCGCGATGGAATTTTTGCCAGGAACATTAACGCATTGTTTTGCTGGGGCTCTGCTTGTTTTCCAGCAGCCAGCTGCCTGCCTCATGGCCCCATGCAGGAAGTATTACACAGCACAGCACCCCTGCACGGGGAGGACAGCTGAGCGGGGCAAAGCTCATTACACCCAAATAATCCAGTAATAATGTAAGTAGCATTAGTGGCCTCGTGGGCTGAGATACAGCAGGCGAAGGGGTGGGAGCTACCCAAGGAATGCCTTAATCTGTCCCTGTTTTGCTCCTGTTGTACTCACAGGGCAAGATTTTAATTGGGCTTCATCCAGTGATCAATGCATTTGCAGCCCCCAGCAGGGTGCAGAAAGCTGCCCAGGGCTGGATCCCCCCAGGGCTGTCTCCAGTTCCCCCTGGCCCTCGCTGGGCACAGCCCCAGGATAGCTGGGCAGTGAGATATGGTGTGGGGCTGCATGGGTACGCGGCAGATCCTCCACTGATCTGGATTAAGGTGGCACCTCTGGTCAGGGATCGGTGCCCTGCACCACTTCAGGGACACACAGTGGCAGCCATACACAAGCAAAGGAGCTCAAAATCTGGGTGGGAGAGACAGTGTCCCCAAACAGCACCCAAAACTGCACCAAGGAGTACACCGAGGAGCTTTGTCCCCAGGGAGGGCATGGGAAGTGGGGCCGCAACCAGCCCAGGAGACGCTCCAGGCCGTCAGCAACCCTCAGGTCCCTGCTCTGTGACACCAGGCGGTGGCAGCCCCATGTCCCTTGGGCAAGATGGTGCCATTGGAGGGAGGCAAAGCAGAGGATGGGTCAGAGTCTGGGAGCACAGCAGGGGCCAGGGAGGCTCAGGAAGAGGAAGCCCAGCCCCAGCAGTGCACTGGGCCGGAGGCGTCAAGGCCAAAGAGGGGCAATGAGTGGCTGGAAAGGAATTCGGCTGGAAGGGCTGGATGCTGAGGGAGAGGCTGGGTTGAAGCACTGGGACATGGTGTGTAATTTTGGGTGGGAAGGGCACGAAGGAGACCCTGCTGAGGGATGGGGGGGAGACAGGAGTCCCAGAGCCCCTGGGCTCGTCCCACAGGCGCACCAGGAGAGCAGTGCATGGGAGCCCCACGGGAGGCAAGGGGCAGGATTTCCCCTCGTGCTGGAGCCTCGCTGCGCCCCGAAAGTGGTGGGGAGGAAGGGCGGGAGCCCCAGAGCCGCGGGACGTGGTGTTCTCATCAGCTGCAGGGCTGAGGGCTTGTCCTGCAGAGGCCAAAGGCAAGGAGGAGCTTGGCTGTGGCCAGGGGGAGGAAGACATGGGCAAGCTTGGGGCCAGCTGGTGCCAGTGCTGTGGGGAGAGCAGTGGCTGCTGTGCCCCTGTGGCGTCTCTGACCTTGGCACGTGGCAACTGTTCGGCTCCCAGCCCTGCAGCCGCTTCCTGCCCCATCCCTGCCAAGGATGCAGCAGTGGGGGAGGCACCAGGGCTGTGTCCACAGACAGCCTGGTAAAGGGCACAACACAGGCGTGTGCAACCCAGCTATGCCATGCACAGGTAGCCCAGCTGAAAGATGTGACAAAATACCCCAAATAATTGGGGGGCTCTGAGCAGTGGCTTAGCCGAGAGCTGCAGAGACAGCCGTGTGGCTATCTTGGTGCTCAGGTTGCTGGCCATTGCTCTCTGTCATGCTTCCACACATAAAAGTCATTTGGAGCAGTGAGAAAATTGTGTATCTCCCCTTCATTAAACTATTTTCATTCTAGTCTTTCCCCTGTGTAAAACCCAGAAGCATTCCATGATCCCTTACCTAAGGTTAACGTCAATTTTTTAAGCTGGGTGCTGCTGACAAAGGCTGAGTGCAGGTGCCATGGATCTGTTGTGGGGCACCGTGAGCCTGGGGTGGCTCCGGCTGCTCCACATTTTGCTGCCGCTTCCAGTGTTTGCACTGCATTAATTGCTGGCACCACAAGCAGAGCTGCAGGTGTGGGCTGTGGTGGCACCGCTGAGCTGGGAGCAGCATTGAAGGGTCCCCAAAAAGTGATAAAAGAGACCTGTTAGGGAATCACGGAGCAGGCAGGATTGGGAACCCAGCGAGGCCACATACCTCTGCTCTCATAGCCATCTGTGGCTTATGGCAACAGCCCTCAGCCTGCTGCTGCTCCCCAACTTGCCTCAGGCTTCCCTAATCAGATCATGACCCATTACCGCTCCCACCTGCCTCACGCTGTCCCCCTGCCGCTGCCACTCCCACTCTATGTCACCTCCTTCAGTGGGACACAGGACAAAAACAGGATGTGGGTGCCAGGACAGCAGTGCAGCAGGGGACGGTGCAGGCGAGGGTGGGCGGCTGCCAGCAGCAGAACACTGGTACCGCTCCGAAATGAGAGGAGGGAGGTCACTGGGGAAGCCAAAGGAGAAGGGGAAAAAGCGAAGCAGAATGGAGAAAATGAAAGAGGTTAGAGGGAAATAGGAAAAAAGAAAGGGAGCAGTGAATAGAGAATTTGCGGCTGAGTTCATTCCTGGCTGCG